ACGGGCCGTAATAGCTACTGTAACTTTGGTAACTTATGTCAGAACGCTTCTGAGCAAAGAGATGTCTCAACAACTTATCGCTATGAAAATGTCCTCCAATCTTCATTGAGCATCATTATTAAGTCAATATTGTTGTCCAAAACGGTATATTGAAGAAGATTGAAGATTCAACTTATTGTCATTCCGTAGTACAGGTACTATGTAACGAAACGGTTTCTCTGCATTTGACCCATCCTAGTGTTAGGAGCAGTGGGCTGCCATTATGTACGGCCATTATGACCACATAACAAATGGCCGTACAATCCCATTAGCCTCAGTTGAGATGAACTTGGAGATGAGCGCTGGTTGGAAGACGTTAGCATGCTAAGCAATTTAACTAAGATGGTGAACATGGTTAACATGCTAAACATCAAAAAGTCTGCATTGTCTTCATGTAAATGTTGGCATGGCATGTTGATGTAGGTATTTAGCTTGAAGCACCACTGTGATTGAGGACGTACTCAAAGAGCTGCTAGCATGAAAACTCTTCGTTTCAGCTCTAAAGACAATTTCATATCAGGAAAGCACAGACAGCAATGGAACAAAACAGCTGTGACTGAGCCGAACAGGGCTTCATGAGGCTGATGAAATAAATGTACTCATCCTGTACTGTATGACTTTAACTTCTGTTTAAAGCTGTTTTGGCGTAGCTAATATCAGTCTATCGCTAAGGCTGCCCGCCTCTTCCATGACTTAAACCAAGGGCATTTGTACATATTGGACAGACACTGTTTTGATCATCTTTCAACATTGTTCCCCCGTGGCTACAGTAACACCTAGCACTAATCAGTCTTCATTAACTCTGTTGTCACATGAATAACTCTGCTGTCATTTCACCCAACTGTATGCCCCCACCCACTGCTAGAGAGTGGCAGGTAAGACAGTCAAAGAAGCCATGTTGTCTTTCCTGCTGCTATTTCCTTTTAGTCATCCTCAGATCTCGCTGGAAATGTGCACTCATAACGTCAGTTGTGGGGATGATAATGATGGCAGGATCAACAGATCAGAGCCTGCATATGGCACTGGATACTATGATAAAAACACAGAAGAATCATTGACATCCATTCATTACAACGACTATCACTACTGATTTTGGGGTTAAGGCCCAGGAGCACACGTCTCCCTGATGTTAATATACTGTTGCCCTGATGTCAAGCATTTTGCAGTGCTCTTGCCTGGAGACATGGCTTATCAATTGGGAAAAATGTATATGAAATGGACATAACTTTATATTAAGATACCTATTCTTGCTTAAGATCCTTAAGGGGAAGAGTGATAGTTGAAGAAAGGAAGAAAATGGTAGAGAATGACGTTTGTCGTATCTCTCAAAGGGCACAAGACTGAATGGGAGGATGTCGATATTTTTCCGAAATTAGACCAATTCATCTAATCTCACTACCTCTTTTCCGCCTAAATTATCCCTCTGATTGTGCACTCCTGCATGCATTAACAGGTTAGTCTTCTCACCTCCTTCTTTGAGCTGATGTAATTCTATAGATGAAAGAATCATGACAGTCTGAGGAAAAGAAAGAGGGATAGCGAGAGAGAGCACAACCTAGCACTCGCTTCATTGAGGGGAAGTAGGAAGCATTGGTATTCACAGCAGTCCCTCCATTTTGGAATCTACTCCGGTACTTGGCTGCAGCCAACTGCAGCTCTGAAAACATCCACATCTCCCCCTCACACTGTTAGTAAAAGAGCTACTGTGTTAATTGGGCTAAACTGTGTTAGGGACGGGAGGGGAAATTAATGCACGGCTGTAAACAGGCATGGATGAATCACATCTGCCATGTTTATGAGATCAAAGAAGATGTAGGGAGCATGTGTCTGCCATTATATTTCCACTGCACATCTGGTGAGTAGGAACAAAATGTGCTCTGTTTGTGAGAATAGTGATTTTGATCTATATTGCAAATCAAACTTCTACTAGAATACTATGTGATTCTCTCCTTCACTGTTTTCTCGCTGGTTGACTTCATGGTCTTTTAACTGTAAAAACTAAGCCTCGAAACTATGAATGAAAGCCAAGTTAAAGTATAGAAGGAACAATCTAGGCAAAAGAAAAAACAAACGGTTGAGCTTTAACCAAAGACTGTATATGGCTGAAATAATAATTGCAAGAACTGCTCAGCATTTCTAAAATGTTTGAAGAGTGTCCAATAGTTGAAATGATCTCATAACTTACCTGCAATACAGCGTATTATTGGGTTGAATCAAGCAGTAAAATAATCTGGTAAATAAAATCTATGGAATGGAAAAATAACTATGAGAATAAGAAATGAAGTTCATATTTTTGATGAAAGATGGGGTAAACAGGTGAGATATAGAAAATCCAACATGACTAATGACCCTGTGGTAAGATATGACAATTAATGTAGGTATAATGTCGTCATGATCTATTCCGTCTCTTTTCTTTCCAGGTATTTAATGTATTTTAGTTTGTAACTGTATCTTATTTTGGGATTTACTGTATGCCCTGTACCTAAAGTATTTCTTTAAAAATCTGCACCAAAAAGTACAACCAAGTATGCGCAAAACATCTAAGATAACCAGGACCTGTTTTTAAAACTTTGTCACAGGTTGCAAAGCAGATGTGTTATCCTTGGGAAAAGCCAAGGTAAAGTCGTCTGTCAACCAGTAAAGAAGACAGATCAATAAGTCATATAAAAGCTTCCAGGCATCTTCTCTTTCCTTGTAGCCAAACAACCGCCACACACAGTTAGGCCACACACACACACACACACACACACACACACACACACACACACACACACACACACACACACACACACACACCATCAAATTAATGTTTGGTTAACTCTCGCAACACAGGTGGTGCCATGAACCAATCAATTCCATCTCGTTAGAATCCACTTACATGTTCATATTTGCCAATCAAGCCGATACAGTCGATGATAATAAGAAAAATGTTTCATGAATGAATTGGACCATTATGTTGATTGTAAAACAGCTACTTAATAACTACTTTATGGACCGCTCCCTCTCTTATTCCCTCAGAACGAAAAACATGGAGAGCCAGTGCCGACTGCAGAAAAAGGTTGCAATGCACCATATGTTTTGTACAGTGGTGCTCAGCTCCACAAGAGATATATATCCTCCGGGAACTAAGCAGAAATGAGGAGCAAACTGAAGACTGCTGAGTGTCAAACTGTGGGGTGTAAAATGTGTTTTCTTCTGGTTTCATGAGCTGAACTTACTTCCATATAGCAAATGGTTTCTAACAGTTTTACACTGTGTCATAAAATAGGGCAATACACAGTATACTTAGTAGGGATGCACCGAATATTCGGCCACCGAAAATTATCGGCCGAAAATGGTTAAAAAGGCCCTTTCGGCCGAAATGAGAACAGGGTTAC